CCATAATCTCGACAACAAAGGCCCTCGTCTAGCCCTTTTCAAGTATTGCCATCTCCACTAGCCCAAGCTAACTTCCAACCATCAACGCTCTTATACCTTCACTATAGCCCTCTTAAACCCTGGTAGCCCATCGCCGCCTCTCAGCAACATCTAACATTAAGTATTTCCCAAGCCCACAACAAAGCAAAGTTCCATAAATAAGACCATCTAACCTTGTACCACAAGGCCTCTTCAAAAACATACACCAACACCAACAATAAACCCCTATAAAACCCTTCCAAAACCTCACAAACATCACACCAAGTCATCACCAAGCATCCAAGGTATCTTCATCTTCAAGATTCTCCCACCGACTACCATTAGCAGTTTTGAGCTTGTTGAACCCCAATTGATCCAAAGGTCTTAGCAAGTCATCACCTTGATATGTGTTTTAAAATACATGCTACAACAAACTCATAATCAATGGGCCTCTCTATCATTAAGAGTTTTAAGCATTGCATTTAGCATTATGAGTAAATTAAAATACAATCAACATGAACAAACCTGGATTGTCTTACATATTAGCAAGGTTATAAGTCATATCTATAGGGTTTCTTCATCCTTGAGGTTATAAGTTTTGCCAATAGACTTTCTCATCATCAGAGTTGTATGTCCAATTTTTGGGTCTTCTTTGCTCCCGAGATTAGTCGGCCCCATGTAGTGAGATAAAAGCTTGTTATTGTTGTTTTGTTGTTTCTTTGCTCTCGAGGTTGTGAGATCCACAATAGGCCTTTCTTAGGATGCAAGACCCATCCCTACTAAACTAAGCCAATACAATGCTAACAAGCCTATTAATTGAAACTTGGGTCAACTTTTATAGTATCATGCCTGTCAATTGAATTTCGGCAAGCACTTATGCTAACAAGCCCATAAACTAAACTTGGGCCAGCTGACATGTTACCAAGGTTGTCAATCAAACTTGGGCCAGCTTCCATTCTACTAAGCCCCAAATATTTCAAGCTAGACTCGCATACTCTTGAAGCCGAACCTACCGACCTTAGACTAACTACCTTCTAGTAAGCATTGGCAAATCTAAAGTTGAAGCCCTAGGGGCATGGGCCCACACTACTCACTGCCCATCAAGCAAGTAATAAAAAACCCACAACAATTCATTTAAAGAATATCCCATCAAAAAAGTAATAAAAACCCCACTTGCCCATCAAGCATGCAATAAAAATCCCAAACCAACATACAACAATTTATTTAAAGAATACCTTATAAGAGAATACTCTTTTAAAATATGGGAATTTAAGATGAAACCTCTAGCTCTGAATCCAACTGCATATCCATTAGGCCAAGGAGTCACTTCATGCATAATTTTTGCTATATTTTACTTATATTATAACTAAATATTACAATTATTTCTAAAATTTGCATAATTAAAATTTATATATAAGAAAAATTATGTGCATATTGTAGTTTTTTTAGTTTTTTATTTTTTTACAAAACTAACACCAAAATATTTGAAGTAAAATAAGATAATCATAAATTTATGTATAATACAACTAATAGAATATAGAATTTATTAATTTATTGAAAGCAAATATTGATATTCTAGAAATATCAAAATATTATTTCACCATGAACTACTAAATAAAAAGTCAAAAGAAATCATTAATTTATGGATTTAAGTATACCTCGAACCTCTGAACCCTCCCCCAATCTCCTACAGTCCAGACTCCAATGAATCAAAATTCAAACTGCACTAAAGATTTTTGACATAACCCGTTTTACGGCCTAAAGAACTCTATATTTCCATTCAAATTCTTGTTACGACTTCTTCGCTTCATTGCCATTGTCAGCTTCTACAGCAAGCTCCCAACACGACTTCTTCAATGAACAACCATATTGACTTTGCTTCTCCAATGAGCTCTAATGCGACGTTGCCTTCTCAAATCGAGCTCTGGTCACAAACGAGCCTCCTCCAGCATGCTTCAGTTGTGACTTCATTGCTTCATTATTGTCAAGGGATTAAAAAAATGAGAATCAACCTGCTCGCAAGTTAAGTTCAAGCCTTTTGAAGGTACGATGAGCAAAGTCTAGCTCAATATTTAAGATCAACTCTGAATAGAGCCTACCTAGTGATAGGCAAGCCAAGATCGAGCTCAACTAGACTCATTTATACCCTGATGTCAATGATGCATATGTTAACCTCATTACAAATGGATCATTTCATAACAAAGAACGTCACAATACACAACCCATGCATAAAATCCAAATCATGTAGGCCTAAGGTATCATTCGAAGCTAACAAGAGTTTAATCCTAAAAAACTAAATACCATCCAATGACTCTTAATTGCTATTGGTCATGTCTAATAACTTTGAACCATGATTAGACATGTTTTGTGTCTTTGCGTCACTTAGTCTATCTAATACGGCAAGCCCTCTGCTAATGAAAAAGTTGATATCAATCTCAAAAAACATGTATTCAACGTACAAAGCTTCCACCCCAATACACTCAGATACTTAAGAGGTAACCCATAATTATTAACTAGGCTCAATATATGTCACAGCTTAAAGTCCTCTTATTTTAATAGAATAGACTCACTGGAAGACCTGGGATGAAAAAACTATAAGATCATGATCAAATTTATCACCAACTTCACAACCATTCCTCCTGCAATTAAATTCAATACCAAGCCCTACAATAAAGCATAAGCAACCTTCTTAGTCGAAAATGCTCTTATGCAAGTTAGGATATTAAACTATGTGGATTATATCCATAGAAAGTCTCAATTACATATTTCAATAAACCAAGATCCAACATAGGAGAAAATTTGATTAACTAAACTAAATCAACCTAAGAAAAATTACTCTTGAGTTTTCTCATAGCATCAAGGAGGCTCACAGAGGTGGTGGCTTTTCATAGGTGATCAATCCTTACACAAGTTTATGTAAGAACAAGTAATGGGGTAATCACATCTATGAATGGAAGTTGGAAGGGAGCCTAGCAACTTACCCCCAAAACAATAGTGAGAGGGGAGAGAGAGAGAGAGAGAGAGAGAGATGGGGGGGAGGATTTGTTAAACCATCATATCCTCAAACTACTATATCACTCTGGGCGAGAAAAAATTTGACTGGTGAAATATATATATAGTTAAATAGTACTTTAATGATTTAATGAAAATAATTAAGCCTAGGGGAAATAATGATATTGTTTATTATGTAACAAACGGGATCAAATGGAGGGTTGGAAAAAAAATTTAAACTAAACTACAACAACATAAAAGTTTATAGCTTCAAAAAGCAGAATGCCCAAGAAATTATGGCACATGTTGAATAATTTAGTTATTATAAAATTAGTAAGCCAAACTGTAACATCATATAGGCATAAGGTTCAATGTGCAAAATGCCCATTCCTATATGCAAGCTGTTTAACCATTTATATTTTCAATGTTCTTTGCTCAGTCTATGTTGTTTCCAAGATATAAATTGGTTGGATCATGACATATGGGTCATAGTTTGCTTAGTTGATTGCATATATGCTCAGTATGATGATTGGATCTAATCAACCTAGAAGTCTTGTTGCCAAACAATTCAATATTCTAACATTTTGCCCCATGTAAAAAAAACGGGATTGTTCATATGTGGGTGATTTCACAATCTAGTTAAGCAATTCATATTCACGTAAGAGAGAGAGACAAACTAGCAACTTGAATAAGTACCTTTAGAAACCGTATTTATGCACAACAATTAGAGTTTCTGTATGAAATTTCAGAAAAAATCATGACACAGCAGCAAGATCCTTGTGCAAGTAAATGCAAATACAATCAATCAACTCAAAATTATTGTTGCCACCCATATCAATTTCTGAATTAGTATGCAAAAGAGAAATATCTTCATGCGAGTTGAACTAGAAAAAAATCATGAAAGGAGAGGTAGAAGTGCAAGATGAATCACTAAAATGTAGTCCTTTGTTTTACAACCCAATGGTCCCTCACTTGGTTTACAGGGGCTTTTGTGTTTTTTTTTTTTTTACATTTGTTTTCTTTTTTGGTACTTGGTTTGGAAGAGTTCAACCGTGTGTTAATACCTAAATACACTTTAGAGATTGCCCAAAATACCTTTCTCCACAAGGCAAAGGCAGCCGTAATAGTGAAGAACCATGTTCTCAAAGTCTAATTTGTTATAATAGAGAAAGCCTAAACTAATAAATGTAGCCTTAAAACAAGTGAAAAAACTAGTTTAAAATAAATGCTTTGAAAGAGGCATAACACAGTTTCCAATATGATCATTGGTAATAATAATGATTTTTTCAATCATAATGAGAGTGAACTCACTCATTAACTGGTACAGAGATTGTAAATCAGAGCTAAGGTGGTCAAAACAATAGACTAACCTTATATGAATCTCTCTTTCATAAGTCCCAATCGTTACTTATCACGATGACTAATATCTTCTATGCCATCTTGAGTTGCGAAGACATACTATATCTAAATTACCACATGTGTAACTTATTTATATTCTAAATCTACAATATTTTTTATTGTAATATATATATATTTCACACAAACATACACATTCACATACGCACATGTAGATATATGCTAGTAATAAAGGAAATTGAGTAAATATGATGTTTTTTTCTATTCTCTTTGCATTCTGTAGGATGATTAAATAATGCAAAGGATGCAGGAGAAGAATCCAGCCATATTACATAGAATGACAGAGAACAAGGGGACTGTGATTCTAAAGGTTGATATTGACCCCAACGAAGCATATCAAGTAGAACTTCAGTAGAAACTATATTTCATAGACAACGCAAATTGACTGGCATATTTCTACAGTTTTACTAAATTATTTGATTTACAAGCATTCCAAACCGGCCTCTAAAATCTCAATCTAACAACCAGGAGACCTTAAGGTGTAAGCAAACAGATGGAATATTCTACATTTAAGAATGAAAAATCCACATAATGAACACAAAGACAGTATAGAAATTGCATATTCATTTGCTAACCTGTTTAAAGATGGTGCTTGTTCCTGATCCTGGATATCCAAGTAGTAAAAGTTTTTGGACCCTTTTTGGTTCCAAGTACTCAGGAACTGTTCTAGCTGAATAAGGAGCCTCGCTCCTTGGTCTATGCGACGTATTATGAGGGACAGGCAGTGAAAATAAAGAGCATGCTATCCTTGTTAATGCCTGGCAAAGAAAATACCACAAAAAAATGGTACTTTAAGTAATTGAAGTTCAAAAGACACCTCATGGTAATACGATTATAAACAAGGCATTTTAGCCATGAACACAAAAATAAAAATTAAAAGACATTTACCGACTCCCAGATTTTTCCTTTGATGTTATTCTGGCCTTCTTCTTCATAACGACCATCTTCATACACCCAGAAATGGGTATCCCTTGGGCACTGCACGTTTGCTAGCTGGAAGAAAACAGCCGCAAGCAGAATACAACACATCAATTAAGTGAAATGAAGAATAGCGTAGAACTTCTTTACCATATCAAAACAAGGGCTTCATTTGGGACGGCTTTTTTATTGCTTCTTAAAGCAACTTTCTAGTTAAAAAATATAATTTTTATACTTGAAATCTGCTTTATGAAGCAATACGAAAGCCGTCCCAAACGCAGCCAAAGACTTAGAATGCTCCCTTGGTATATGGAAAACATCGAGTAGTGGGTCAAAAGATAGCACAGAAAAACCCCATACATCAAACTTTCATATTTAGTGCTTAGATTAATGACCATGCCAGTTTCTTATTTTTGTGACCGAGTAATACTTAAGTTTCATGCAATCGAACATACACAGAATTTCATAACAGTGAAAGATGCAAACAAATCAATGAACTTCACTCTGACATATCCCAACTATAAAGAACCAGAAAGTAAATAAAGTTGAAAAAAAAAGAAATAAAATTTTGAAAAGACACTTTCAACTATACTAGAAGGAGATACAAACAAGATAACACATAAACACTTAAGTAGATAAAAATACAAACCTTTAGCACCCGCAGTTCTGTCTTGGTAATTTCTCTGCCATTTATATAAACTTGAGTGTTTCCTCTGCTTGCATTGCTTGCAAGCTTTCCAGTGAAATTCAAATTTGAACTTACAATTCGATCCGGTTTCTCTCCCTCCTGCCAAATGATGTAAACCAAAGAAACATCAGCAACAAGCGAGTAAAAGAATGAACTCTCCAATGTAAACAGACATATAACATGGTAGATAACGTGCCTTTCCCCAAAGCCCGGATTCCTTGTCATACCAGTACCTTCCAGGCTTCAACTTTTCAGGAGGTAAATGGCAACCAAGCAGGTCTGCCATCTCCTCAGGCCGCAAAGGACATCCATTCACTATGAGCTGCTCAGGCCTCAGTTGATTGGCAGGGCATTCCTTCTCTGCCTTCAAAATTTGTCTTACTTCCAAGGGGCTTAGCAACCTTGACAATATCCTGGAACTCTTACCAAGCTTCGACCGCTTCGACTCATCAATTGGCTGCCCTATGCATTGTACACACTTGCGCCCCTCTGGCATCGACCCCATGGCTCTAAGTACACAATTACTGCAGTACCTAGCATCACAAACAAAGCAAGATTCTTTTCTCTCCCACTTCCTTTTCCCACATCGATAGCAAACGCTGATCTTCTCCTTTCTTGAAACACCAACATATTGAGGTGAAGCCGATCCCCCCACATACAATTCCTTACTATTGGGTTTCTCCATGCTTTCAAAAGTAACTACAGGTACCCTCTTCACCTCATTCGCCATTCGATAGGTTGGCCTGCGTGGGGAACTTTGGGCGGAGGGAGGGCTATGGACAGAATCTGGAGACTCAGAATTAGACAGACCCGAGAACTCTCGATTCTGCAAGACAGAAACAACAGACTCGGAGCTCCCAGAGCCCCTTGGGCTCCGGCGAGAGGAACTAGCATGGTCCGATATGGAGGAGACAGTAAGCGGAGTTGGTTCCATAATCTGCCGTCCTCCATTTTCCACTGGCCGGTCATGAGATTCAGAGAGGGGCTCTGCTGTAGGAATAGACCTGTAGCTCAGGCTGACAGGATCAACGCTGGGAAGCTCATAGTCAACATCAGGACCATCATACTCGATGGCAATAGAGTAGTCCAGATTAAGTGGAGCCTCGGGAATTGGTGTTCCCGGCGGCAAAAATTTTCTCAACATCTCCTCCCAACGATTCCCTTCTAAGGTTTCAGCCATTTCTCAAAACAGACAACTATTTTCACTAACTCAGATGCTCAAAAGAGGCTAATTTTAGCCTTGTGAAAGAATCGCGAACATAAAAACATATAAGAACTCAAATAAATCAAAACCAGGAGTGCCAAATAATTAAATATCCAGAGGAACTTTCAGCTGGAACAAATCCGAAACACTCCTTTGCCTTTCAGCACCAACAAGAATCGGAACCCGTGAAACGAACACCAGATTGGGAAAGTAAGCACAAAGTGTACCTCGCGGCGGAGACAAACAGGCTGCCGGCCCGATTCAGAAACCGATCCAGCCAAAAAAATCCTCTTCAGGTTACAGTACCGCGACCAAAGCCCTAGAGTGAGGAAACCGAAGACTAGATTGAATCGCAATTGCAGGATAGGAGAATTGAAAGCGCAGAGGTCCGGACTCTTGTAGCCTCGGGTACCTGGCTTGGAGGTACAACAACGCAGAGAAGAGGAGACAGAAGAGAGAGACTTGAAATGGGCATAATATTCATGGCAAGAGTTGGAAAATTGAAGGATCCTTCAAAGTTCAAAATTTGAGTTTGACTAAAGAAATTGCCTTGTTGGGTGTCGGTCCGCCGTAATCAAATGCAGCCGGCGGAAAGTCAAAACGAGCGAAAAATAGAAAAAAAAAAGTGTATGATATTAAACAAATAAAAAAAATAGTTAAGCACGTTCGCTCCAAATTTTCACATGAATGATAATAATAGAAATAAATTTAAGTTATATATTATACTCTAAAGAATTAAGCTTAAGTTAATATAAAAATAATTATACTTAAATTAAATTAAATAAATTTTAATTTTATAATTAAAAATAGAATAGTATCTTATATATAATTAATTACAATACAAAAACAACAATAACAAATTTGTATCATATTATGTTGATTGGCTACATAAATCTTTTTTTTTCCATGATATCTTATCAAAAACCAAATTCTCATTTAAATCTAATATAAAAAAATGAATATTTTTAACAAAATATTTTTAGATATATATCTATCTTTCTTAACATATCGGGCTCTTATACATCTATTATTTTAATCAGGTTATCATAAGTTTAATATTTTAAATACTTTTTTTAATATTAAATATTTATTTATAATTTTAAATTCAATATAATTAAGTTTGAATTAAAATTTTAGAAAAAAAAAATTGCATGATATATAATTGTTAATATTAAATAAAAATAATTTTTTTTTTAATGGGGGGCATATACCATATGTCAGGTTTAAATTTAAGTAATGCCATACATTATATCATAGTTCATAATTAAATAAGATAGTTGAAATATTTTAAAATATAACTATGTCATTGTGGTATAATAAATAAATTTGAAGGACAATTCAAAGGTTTAACTCTTGGTTCCTTTCGTTTTGTTTTTCATGTGTATGATGAAATGAGGTGTTTTAATTATTCAAATTTTGAGATTTTTTCAAGATATTTTTTGAAATTTGTTACTATGTGATAATTTATTTATTTCGCAAAATATTCTAATCATATATTTATTTAAAGAAATATATTGGCAAGTTCATGTTAGACAAATTTATCATTATAATAGTGGTACAATATATAATATTTACTAATAATGTGAATGTTTAAATGAGATAGATGTTCTATTGAGATGCAAAAGATGGTGATAAAAAAAGTTTTTTTTTTTCCTCGTGCAAGGGATTTCACTTTACGAGATAAGGAAAGATGTCTAATGTGATAGGGCCAATATGTCTTTTTTCAACTATAAATTCATTTGGGACAGCTTTATGAAGTAATAAGAAAGCTGTCACAAACGAAATTTAAGTGAAATAATTATCACTATAAGTCATGTCAACAAATTCAAATTAATTAAAGAAATCTAGGTTAATCGTCTTTCAAAGATAGCTTATAATTCACTAAGATTAATTACACTTGATAGCACTTTCAAGAGACGCTATCAATAAAACAAATACTGGTGTTTTGATTTAGTATGATTAATATCAAATGATAATTATTATTCAAGGATAATTACTTAAATATGATATTCTATAATTTGATATAAGTATGTCCATAAAACAATCAGTCATAACTAAGTGATATATTTATTTTTATTGGTATCACACTTTGATTTGATAAACTATTGTTTGAGATCCACTTCTATTAATTCAAAGTCTTAGTCAAAACTAGGATTTTTAATCAACTAAAGCTAAATTAATATTATCCTAAGGCTAATCTGACTTAGACTAACTTTGTTTGGGTACTATTTTATTTTTAGACTGCAATCATAATTTTTATTTGATTACTATATTTTATTATCTTTATTTGTATAATAACGTAACTTTAAAAAAAATTATAGTTTCCATTTAACTTTATTAAAAACTACTATCAAATATTTTTGAGTGTTAACTTTTGACACATCGGACAGCAGAGCTCTGCTAGGATTTAGTCGCTCTTAGCGGATTTCTCCTCTTCCCCTGTTGGACACCTGAAGGAATTTCTTGCATAGAGAGTAAAATAGGTATTTCTCTAGCTATGGATAATCTGACTAGAGAAAAAACTCGTCTTACTTATGCGAGGTTTTGTGTTCAAGTGACAAAAAACTGTGCTTATCCAGAGTCCATTCCTATCACCATTCTAGTGTATCTATTGATATGAAGATTCTATATGAGTGGAAACCTACCCCTTGTGAATATTATGGTTCCATTGTTCACTTGCCGGATCTTTATCCCTTGAAACCACAACCCCCTCTGACTGCCATTCAGCACTTTACTCGTGGAAGAAGCACAAGTAGGAAGCCAAACAAAGCTTACACTCACTATATTATGGCCCAAAACCAACAAAACATCCTTAACAGAGCTTCAATCCAGATAAACCCACACCCTTGGCAGACATAACCTCCACTATGTCGATCCCACAGCCCCATATGTGGTTATATCACCGCCTTCTCATCCCATAGATAACCCACCACTACCCTTCGCAGCCATAACTCCCCAATGGAGGATGTTCTTACATCTAGTATCGTTATCCCCCACAATCTGCAAGTCAACATCATATCGCTGAATAAATTTGATATCTTAAAAGATGGCATGAATGATCTTCATTAATCCTCTTTTACCACTTCTCATGTGGAAACTAACCCTCCAAATCCCCCACCCACTCAACAAAAGGCTTCTAGGAGAAAGCAAGCAAAAAGCCTCCTAACAAATCATTGAAATCCCAATGACCTTTCCCTATTTAGCTTCTTGGAATGTGAGAGGTTTCAATAGCCCGGAGAAGGTTTGGTCTTGCAAGAAGTTAGTTAGTCAGTACAAATTAGAATTAATTTGTGTTATGGAGAACAGGATCCATGAGAAAAATCTCTTTGATCCTTGGTATTGTCTCAATCATCATGTTTTTGAAAATGAATAAAGTTATCTCAACTTTTGTGAGAGCTCGTTCCTTTGATTTGCTCTCTGAATCTGGTTTTTCTCCCAGGATCGTCCAGGACGATATTGAGATCGTCCAGGATGATCAGTGCATTGAAACAGCTGATTTTTCTGGAGTGAGATCGTCCATGCCAATTTTGGATCGTCCTGGGACGATCAGTGTATGGCAAAATCCCGAGAGCAAGGGTTTTTGGCAAATTAATTATCGTCCTGGAAAATCGTCCTGTACGATTGGAATTTGGTCACATCGTCCTGGACGATGTGGCGATCGGCCAGGACGATCAGAGTAATGTTATAAGCAAATCAGCTCGTTTTGAGGAGAGAGAAAGATATTTTATAAAAATAAAAATATCTGAGGAGAGAGAAAGAGAAGGAAAGCGAAGGAAAAGCCGGATTCTGGAGGTCGCGGAGCGCTTTTCATCCGACGCCGCTGTTGGGAAAAGTGTTTATCTCGTGGTAAGGACTCCGAATCCTATTTCTGTTTTCAGAGATATTGATTTTTGATCGAGTTGTGCACTGTTTTATATTTTCGTAGTCGAATTTTGGACATGATTTTGTATTGAGACAACTTTCACCGCACAACTTTTAGAATGTATAGATATTGAATATTGTACACGATTTGTAGTAGTTCTACGATGATTTTACGGTCGGAATTGGGTTCTACGCGATTTTAATTGAATAGAAAAAAATATCAGATAGATATGATATGGAATTCCTATAGAATAATAGCTTATATTATGTCGTGAATAATCTACTGTAATTTAGAATATAGTCTTTCTTGTGTAAATTTGATAGACTGCCGTACTCTGCCGGAATTTCGTAGGATTTCGATTTTTTCTGAAATTGATAGATTGAATTGATATGCGTATGAATATTGATATGATTATCTAGATGCTTAATATGATTATTAAATTGATTATTGAATTGACTATTGAATACTGAAACACAATGGAACCTGGTTGGAAATTGTTGGTTGGAGATGGAATTGACCTGTACAGGATGGTGGCCAACCGGGGCTTTCCTTTAAACATCGATTATAACTATATGTGATTGGGAGTCATAAGGGTTTATAGATATGACGACGCGGCAAATAGATGACGACTCTTTATAGAAAACCAACGTATGGGATTCTACAACAGCAATATGGGATCTACAACAGCAACATAGCCAGTTCATTTACTGTTCAGTATATTGATATGAAATGCATGTTTACTGTATTGACATGCGGATTTATGCTTTATCGATCTACTTTATTGATTTGATCGATTTACCATATTGTACGATATTCATCGATTTCATTGATGATCATTGAGCATGATACTATTGATTATTATATTGATATGGATAGATGGATAAGATATTAGTATAGATTCATTATGCTATGATATGGATATTATAGATTTATTGATACTGCTTATAGACTCATTGATATTATTGATTCTGCATTGTATTGACTTGCTACATTTGATTTATTGATAGGGTAGATTGAGATTTATCGTATTGCTTTTCCGATTGATTTTATTGACTAGATAGCATAGATTTGATTTGATTGATTGATTCGACACGACTGATTTGACGAATTGATTGATTTTCTTCGGTGTACGAATTTCTTCGATATTGACGTGTATTGATTGAGCTTGATTTATTGATTTGCCTGCTGCTGCATTGACTGGTTTCATTGACTATGGATTTCCGTATTGCATAGACTCATTGACCATTGACTGATATGGATTTGATTGACTGACATGCATATTGATAGCATCGTCGTGCTTTGATTTCATTTATAGGTATTAGGTGACCTGCTGGGCTTTGTAAAGCTCATTATATGTGGTTGACATTTTCAGGTCAGGGCAAGGGAGCAGAAGATAGGAATTGATCCGGATCTACATATTTTTGTCTTTTGATTGATAGTGATTCTTTTGTACTCAGGACAGGATAGATTTCAGTTCATAGAGTAGTTCCTGAGTATTGTATATAATCTTTTGAGATATGAATCGACCTGTACATTGATGTTTTAAATGTTATAGATTTTGTTAGACTGTCTGATTGAAGTTATTGATAGCTCTGGTAAATGGTTTTGATGAATTGATTAAAATTCTTTCGAAGTTAGATCTCGGGGCATGATAACTTTAACCTCTCTACTTCAGGTAGAATTTGGATAAAATGGGATCCTAAGAAAGTTTATT